GATTGCCCATCCAGTCTACATGTGTTTTGTGGACTAGGAGAAGACATTTGACCATGTTCCTCAAGGTACACTGTGGGGGGAGGGGCTTTACCTAATTTCCCTCTGRGATCAATAAATTATTTTTRAATTGATTTTTTTTAATGCATATGGGATTGGAACCATTCAGCCTCTATAGAAGTGTGAGACTTTGGTTCACATTGTTGACTGCAGGTCAGACCCCCTGCCCATTCTCACTGATTCTGTTCATAACTTTTGTGGACAGAAGTTCTTGATGCAGGCAGGGGGTGGAGGGGGGGCGGGGTGACCTCAGGATTCCATCTCTGCTCTGCAGATGATTTRGTCCTGCTGGCGTCATCAAGCCGTGAGCATCTGCTCTCACTAGAGCATTTCACAGCCAAGTGTTAAGGGCTGGCACCTCCAAATGTGAATCCATGATCCTCAAAAGGGTGAATTACTTATTAGGTTGGGGGTGGGATTCTGCCTCAAGTGGAGTTATCTTGGGGTCTTGCTCATGAGTGAGGAAAGACTGGAGCATGAGACAGACAGGTGAATCAGTGCAGCTTTTACAGTATTGTGGACTCTTTGGTGTGATGAAGAGGGAGCAGAACTGCAAGGCAATCCTCAGAGAAGAGCTGGAAGAGGTGTCTGTGGAAAGAAATTTCTGGGCCTCCCTGCTCAAGCTAGCCTGGCCCTTGCCTTCCCATGCAGTTCTGCTCAATTCTAGTTTCCCTGCACTGCTCATCTGTACAAAGCAAAGCGAAGAAGGGGCTGGTTTTTACCAGGCTATGCTCAAGCTGCTGTCCCGTGTGCAGCCTTTGAAACATGCAGAAGATAATGGATGGAATTTAAAGTTAATGCAGCTAAATATTGAAAACTGTAACACCACCATATCTGGCACAACACCTCATTATGCTGAGAACACCATGTCTACAGTTAGGCGTGGTGGTAACGGCATCAGGATATGGAGGTATTTTTCTTCAGCGCAGACTGAGAAAAATGTCAGAGTTAAAATAAAGATGAACAGAGCAAAAGATAAAGTCCTCTGGAAAACCTGTTGGGRTTTTCTAGAGCAGGGGTTCTTAACCTTTTTCACCGTGTGACCCCCTTTTAGACTTCAGTAAATTTCGTGACCCCCCTACCCTCGGGGAAAAAACGGCATCATTAACTCATAAAAATAAGAAAATAATAATAATAAGTTTCCTTACTTAATGTGATGGTTGGGCCTTCATTGAAGCACAAAGGTGTTCCATACGTGGCTTAGTAGGGCTCAGGAACAGTCGCAAATCATCTTCAACGTTGAGACGGGCTCTGTATTTGCTCTTTAGATATGTAAGCGCAGAAAATCCAGATTCACAGAGAAATGTTGATCCAAAAGGGATTAGCTTTTTCAATGCCATTGAAGTCAGTGCTGGGTACTCTGTGAGCAGTGAAATCCAGAATTCAGGCAGGGAACGTTCTGTGAACCTCTGTTTCAGAGTTGCATCAGTGGCCAGATCAATCAGCGACTCTTCCATTTCAAGAGACAATCCTGTTTGCTTTGCAGAGAAAGGATTGTGTATCCAAGCATCACTTGCAGACACTGTACTGTTTTTAGGAAAATACTCTCGAAACTGCGTCGTCATTCCATCAAGATGAGCCTGAATAAGTGCACACAGCTCAGCCTTAGAAACTGCAATGTTGTTCAAAAACTCCTCCAGAGCAGGAAATGCCTCGAAGTTTTCGTTTTCCAGACAAGATTTCCACAAGCACCGTTTTCTGATCCAAGCCTCGAGTTTATCAGAAAGGGAGAAAATAGATGTATTTTTCCCCTGCAGTCCTCCGTTTAACTCATTGAGCCGTTTGAAATTGTCAGCCAGATAAGCTAGCTGTGCAAGCCATTTTTCTTCAGAAAACAGCAGCTAGCGGGGAGCTTTTCTCCAATAGAAATGTCCTCACCTCATCACGGAGCTCGTAAAGATGACTCAGAACGTTACCTCTGGACAGCCCTCGCACTTCGCTGTGGTACAGTACAACAACTGATGGCGCTCAGCTCCCATTTCTTGACAGAGAATTTTGAAAAGTCGTCCGCCTGTTGCACTTGTCTTGATGGCATTGACAGCACGAACCGCTTCATCCATTACCAGTTTGAGATCAGTGGGCATTCTTTTAGCTGCAAGAGCTTGTCTGTGAATCATACAGTGTGTCCACAGAGCAAGTGGGGCAACAACCTGGACTTTTGCAACTAGCCCACTGTGTTTGCCAGTCATCGCTCGTGCTCCATCTGAGCATATTCCCACACACTTGTTCCAGTCAATGTCATGGTCCCGTATATAAGTTTCCAGCAAAATAAAAATCTGTTCGCCTGTGGCTCGCCCGGGAAGGGGACGACAAAACAGAAATTCCTCACATATTTCTTTTTCTTAAACAAATATTGCATAAAAAAGCAATTGTGCCTCTCCAGACACATCTGTTGTTTCATCAAGTTGCAAAGCAAAGACTTGATTTTATCTTGTTGATAACCTGCTCCTCAACGTCTTTTGCCAAACGGCTAATGCGGATTAGTCACTGTATCATTTGATAATGGTATTAATGCCAGCTGGTCTGCAGCACTTTTCCCACACATTATTGAAACAGTTTCTTTAACACACAGTAAGAAAAATGTCTCACCTAGTGTGTGGGGCTTCCTGGTCTTTACAATCCAGTGTGATATTACAAATGAGGCCTTCAGAGCCTTTTTGTTAGCAGTGGTGGCTTTTTGGAGCGTATGTTGCTGGCCTCTTAGCTCCTGCAGTTTACGTTCAAAAAACTCCACGGGTTTTGATTGAAAAGGCGAGTGCTTTGTTTGCAAATGTCGTAGCAACTTGGAGGGCTTGAGACTTTCCTTGGCTAGTACTTCACCACAGACCACACATTGCGGCCGTGCATTGTCTCCTTCACTTGTCCGTGTAAATCCATATTCCAAGTATTTTTCATCAAATTTTCTCACCTTCTTTGTTTTTTTCTGTCCTGACGTCTCTGGAWGCGGATGTTTTGCACCCCCACTTCCAATTCAACCTTCTAAAAAACGCCTGTTTGTGTGCAGTTGTGATCATGCATGGATCTCTCCCGTGGAATGTTTCAAAGTGAGTGTGAGGGGACCACAGATGCGACCCGCAAAGCCGGAAGCCGACATAAGGGAGACCAATGCCAAAGACCCCGAGAGGGACCCCAAGCACGCAGCCCCTAGGGACACCCGTGCCGGAAGGGGTCCACCCACCCCCCAAAGA